GAATAAACTGTATATGGATTCATGGATTAAATCAATCCGGGTTTTTTTTCTCCGTTTTTCTTCTTTTATTTTGCCTTTTTTGTTTTTCTCTTATTTAATCTACATTTAAGGTCAACATTACCATTTTTTTAAAAAGATCAAGTCAATGAATGTTTTTATTAAAAGTTTTTAATTGACCTTGAAGTGTGTGTGTGTCTGCTACTGATATCGACAGATATCAGGATACCAATCCAGGACCTACCTGTCAGTCTCGCGCGCGAACCCTTAACCTTTAGACCACTGAGCCGGTCGGCATCCAACGGTATTAATGCGATATATCCACGATTTGACAATCGTGAGTTACTATCTAACAACTGACTCGGTTGAACTCCACTATTCACTGCTTCTTACTAGAACTCCAAGAAATACACTATTGAGCATAGGTTGATTAGTATCAGAAGGAGTTTTGTGGATATTATAGTAATTTTTAATGGTTGAAATCATGAGTCATTTGTGTCTGGATCATCATGGAAAACCTAGAAGCACTAAACGGCCGTTTCGTCCTATTGTGATACTTCTCAGAAGTGTACATGAAAAAGAGAAGACTTTTATTTGATTAAGTGAATTGTAGTTTCTTTCACATCATTATATAAACAATAATAATTAAGACCCATTGTAAAATGTATACTACTACTCTCTCTTTCTCTCTATCTCACTCACTCTTATAGTTAAATTTGTCAGTATTAGATTATAAAGAGTGTTGAATTGATATTGATTACTAAGATCATGAATTGATCCATGTTAGGAGTTCCATATGAATTCATTGTTGAATGTTTTCAGTTTGTTTGTTTTTCTTTTAATGATGATCTAACATGGATCCATTCATGATCTTAATTAAATTTGTTCTTAAAAAAAATGATTATTGTTTCATATTTATTGATTTATTGTTGATATTGTAATATGATCAATGAATGAATAAACAATAAATGATTGACACAAAATGAAATGCACTAATAATTAATTGGAGCTATTCAGTTATTTAGATTGTTAGTTAGTCATAGTTACCATATTCAAATGTAAAGGTGATGAAAATTTTTGTATCCTAAGACACATTTGTTAACTCTGCCTGTAGCTCTTCTAGAGTTACTGCCGATCCCAAGCTCGGGTAAAGGAGGAGGGTTGAGCATGGGTTAAGGACCCTATCCTATAGAAAACTAACTTGCTAAAAGACGCTAACCAGAAAAAATAGTTCAAACCATTTAAACTCTGCCCTAGGAGTTAGAAGGTCTCCATCTATAGAAGAACTATGACGCCCGTACTAGGATAAAACGGCCGTCCAGTGCTTCCAGGTTTTCGATAGTGTTTTAACAATGATCCATTCATGATCTCCATAACCTTATACTAAAAATTTAAGAAATGTTCCTACTTAATACAACAGGTTCCTCAAATAGAAGCAGATACAAAAAGGATGGATAACAAGTGGAAGGAGCTGGAAAGGATTGCCCAGGACAGGGCTAGATGGAGAATGCTGGTGAGCGGTCTATGCTTTTCACGAGGAGTAACAGGCATAAGTAGGTCAGTAAGTAAGACACATTTGATATACATTGCAAATCATGCAAACAAAAAAAGATTTCTCTAATGGTACAAGATACAGTTCAACTAATAATCTATTTATTATTGGAAGGGATTACGTGGAGAGTTTAGTCATTTCAATAGTTGAGATCATGAGTCAGTTGAAGCTAGACTACTATAGAAAGCCAGGAAGCACTGGATGGCCTTTACGTCCTATTGTGGAACTTCTTAGCAGTGTGCATTCACGATCCGACCTAGCGAGATTCGAACCCAGGACCTATCAGTCTCGCGCGCGAGCGACTAATCATTAGACCACTAAGCCGGTCGATACCGAAAGGTATTAATGTCTAACTTCAACCAATCCACGAAAATGCGCCACCGTACAGGTTTTCCATGGTAGTCTAGCTTCAATTGATTCATAATTTCACATATTTATTAGCCTACTTAAATATCTGGGCTATCTGCTCCTATCATCTGGATATTTCAATAAGTTATCTCGTAAGGTGGGATCGTGGATGCGCACTGCTGAGGAGTCCCACAATAGGATGAATTGGCCGTCCAGGTTTTCCATGGTAATCCAACCTCAATTAATTCATGATCTCAACTATTAAAATCACAATAATATCCACAAAAACGCCTTCTGATGTAGCGCCGCTGGATGCCATCTCACTGGTCTACAGGTTAAGTGCTCGCGCTCAAGACCGATACGTCCTGGGTTGAAATCTCGCGAGGCGGGATCGTGGATGTGCATTGATGAGGAGTCCCACAACAAGACGAAACGACCACATAAAAAGCATAGTTGACCAGATGCGATTTTATGAAACAATATTTACCTTAAACAGTGTATATACAGCTTACTAATAGATACTAGATAGCATAGAAACCAGGTTAAGCACAATCTACTAAACATTCTCGTTTAATGGATACATAGATTTGTGAAAACTACAAGAATTTAAGCTGTGAGAAGAAGAAGAAGAAGAAGTAGTAGTAGACTATATGTTTGACTAAATTATAACAATTTTTATTTCAATCTGTTATAACTTGTGGCCTTGTGATCTTATTATTCTATAACGTAATGATACCGCCAATTAGAGAACTATGATTTATCGACCGGATCAATGATGAATAAAACTCGTACGAGCAGTTTAGTGTTTTTACTGGTCCTTCTTTCTGCCTAGCCTCGCCTGCCTGTTAAGTCCAGAACATCAATCTCAGCCTCCGCGACATAAATCATGTATTTCAAACATGCTGGGTTTATATACAAACTAAACAGACAACATCGTACCATAAAAGAGAAAATAACATTGGTACAAGATCTAACCAGAATGTGACTGTGAATGTGGGAGACTGTCATTAATAGACCGGGCATAACTCAAGAACGGTAAATCGTATAACAATCATCAATGGGTCAAAATAAAGCATATAATAAGAAGAACATGAATATGTATAGCTTAGCTACTTAATAATTATACAATAAAAATGTAGTCATCGTGTTAGTCCATAAATAGGTCACCACAGTTACTATTCAATATTCTTGTTGGGATACAACAACACTAATAAAACAAATCTATTTCAATGAACATTGATGAGTATCATAAAGAATAGATGTCTAGTAGTTGCTAAGTATTTATCTGTCTTAATATGTTTTCTAAATGGAATTCATCTGGTTAAAGATATACTGGATTATGTAATTACATAATAACTTGATGACATTATTCAAGGTTAGAATACATAAAATGGTTCATAAAAGGGGGATAATTCATAAATATTGATTTTATAAAATAATACATTATAAACCCACTTAGATCATTTGTTAATGTTCTGAATACATTTGTTGTGACTATTAGATTTAGTTTCCAAGGTCAATTTAAACAGTGAAATTCTAAGGTTCCGAAATGATCTTTATTCAATTAGCTACAAATACATACAGATAACTACTATACAATTGGTTGGTATACATACATATATACACAAACTAACTTTATCTTAAATTCTATACTAATGGTTAAACTAAGTATTTTATTGAGATGGTGAACGCCAAAGACTAAATATGGTATAGCTAGACTGATAGTTCAACCGTGTTCAGAGTCATCATAATAACCAAGAAATATAGAGAAGCCATTTTATCTTATTATCGGAATCATCAGTAGTGTAACCATTTATTACTTTACTAGCGCTCGAACCCAGACCCCCCACCCACCCAGATTTTAATAAACCACACAATCAAATCATATTGCCGGTTTTTTTTACGTTAAAATGCTATTCGACAGTGGTTGACTTCTGTTAAATTATTTTAATTTAATTTTTAGAATGGTCCTCTAATACTCAAAGACAATAATTATTTGATATGAGAAAAATTCCACACTCGCATAGTGCTATAGCCCAAAGCCGCCAACCAGTAGCAGCGAAACTTCGATCGGAACAAGGATGCGTAAAACACGTGAGAGCAGCCTAGAGTCCTGATTGCTCCTGCTTTCCGCCTAGCCCAGTCAGTTAAGTCCAGAGCACCAATCTCAGCCTCTGCAATATGAATCGTTATATTTCAAACATACTGAGTTTATATACTAGTCAAACAGACCACAACGTAGCATAAAATAGAAAATAACATTTGTACAAAATTTGGCCAACTGTGGCTGTGAATGTGGGAAGCAGTGACTAACAGACAGGGCATAAGTGAAGAATGGTAAAACGTATAATAATAGTTCATAGGTCAAAATAGAGCTTATAATAAGAGGAACATGAATATGGACAGCTTAGTTACTCAATAATTATACAACAAAAATATATGTATCATATTGGTCCATAAATAGGTCACCACAGTTACTATTCAATATTCACATCGGGATACGTTTAGTATTGGTCCATAAAAATGGATCCCGAAGTTACCATTCATTATGTTTATAGGGATCTAACACAAAGATAGCACTCTGAATGAAGATTTACAATCAGATATTCACGGTTTAAATTGATATCATGAATGGCTGTTTCTTCCTAGTATGGGAATCCTCAGTAGTATGTGTCCGTACTCGGGATTCAAACACAGGATTTTCAATCTCGCACGTGAAAGCATAACAGATAGGCTACTAAACCAGTATCCAACGTTGTTAGTATTTATTTTCAATAAATCTACGATATCGCTCGACTGTCCATCATTATCTTCAGTAAGTAACTAATTTACAACATTAAAAACTTCTTTACTTTCAGGAAGCCAGTATGATCTCAATATCAACGGCAAGACTATAATTTATGAACAAAATCAATCAGTTATAAGATCATAGATCACAGATCATAATTCTAATTCCATTTACTGCCTTATAACTCTTAATTGATCCTAGTTACTAGGTGAACACTCTTAAGATCACTTTGGGATCTTTAAAAAAAAACTTGTCCATAAATGATAATCTCATTCAATGATCATTAACAGATCATGTGAAATATAATTGACTTACCTGAACCCATTATTCATTTGAAATAATGAAAAATTGATCATGAATTGTCATCACACTTCAATAGAATCAAGTCACAATGATGTTTTTTTTGTATTTTTTTTTGTTGTTGCTACCCACAATCAATTATTTATAATTATAATAATAATTCCCTTAATTTGTTAAATCAAAAAAAAATAATATTTCCGCAGTTTATTTGATGAAATCATTCTCTATGAAATATTCCGCTACTCCCCCCTCCCCTTCGTATGTAAAACAAACAAAAAAAGAGGACAATTTGATGTTAAAATGAAGAGGAAACATGCATATTAGTGATGATGATATTCAATAGTTGCCATGGTTATGTATATATATATATATAGGCATAGAATTTACATGTGGGTGGGTGTGTTTATGTAACTCAAATGAATCATTAACCAATCAGTAGAAAGTATAAACATATATCATACTCTTTTTTGTACTTAATGGTTAAACAGATTTGAGGTATAGTAATAATAATATTGTTGTTGTTGTGGTGGTGGTGGTGGTCGATTTCATTATTATTACTCTTAATAATATCATTATTATCATTGCTGTAATTAGTAGTATTGTATTAATAGCAGTAGTAGTATATATAGTAGTACCAGTAGTGAGAACGTTCATTCAAATCCTAAACATTTTTACACCGTGAACTTGTGGAGATTGTAATGATTTTAATAGTTGAATTCTTGAGTCAATTAAAACTAGACCACCATTGAGACATTGAATTTCCTGAAGTTCTAGTAAGAAGACATCACCAATGAAGTACAGTTTTTGTCAGGTAGAGACAGGTATTTACCTCAGACAATAGATGAATGATTGCGTAATATTGTGAATTAGTTGAAGTTAGACATTAACATCGTTAGATGATGGCTGAATGGTTTAATGGTTAAGCGTTTACGCTTAAAACTGAAGATCGTAGGTTAGAGTCACGCTGGCGGGATCGTGGATACGCACGGCTGAGGAATTCCATACTAAGATAAAATGGCTATACAGTTCTTTCAACTTCTCAGTAGTTGTCTAGCTTTAATCAACTCATGAATTCAATTATTAAAATCCTAAATATTTGGGAAACTGATCAATTCTTTTATTCAGATTCACTTGAAGAAACGTACACAATATAGTTTCATTTTATATGTAAAATAGTTAGCACTTTAAGTCTTTACGTAACTTACGTTTACATTGAATTTGGATAAGAATAAAATTAACTGGATTCAAGAATATGGATCATTCGATATCAGACTTGCCTTGTAACTGAGATCAGTAAATGAGTACATTATCTGCAACAAACTACTGTAGGGGCGAACAAACCAGATTCGAATAGAGGAGGAAATCCGGAAGAAGTACTGGAAGTGGATAGAATATACACCTTCACCTAGAACACTTAAAGTCGAAAGCAAAAGAGGATGACTAAAGAACAAATTACTCCGAGAAATAAATACATGAGAAGAATGAACAAAAATTGGATAGAATTAGAAAGAAAGGCGTAGGACAGAGTGGGTTTGAGAATGTTGGTCGGTGGCCTATACTCCATTGGGAGTAACAGCCAATCTATGTGTATATTATCATCACTGGTTATACGTATTACACTAGTACCTTTTGATGAATAACAGTTGCTTCTATAACATTTTTTCCACACAAAAAAAGATTTAACAGTTATAATCATGAACAAATCTCGGATAAACCACTGCTGAACACCTGAAAGAGCTAAACAACCGATCTGTTCTTATATAAGACACATCAGAAATGATCATTCACGACCCTATAGGTATGAATCAAACCTAGAACATTCAATTTCCAGTTCGAACGTCTAACTTTAAAACCACCAATCCGATATCAAACAATTTTCATGAATGCAAACTTTTGATAAGTTCTACACGAGAAAAAAACACCTTTCCATTACTTCCAAATTTACAGTGGTGATCTAACAAAGATGTGCACAGATCAAATTGCGATACTACGGATCATCGTCGAATAATCAGTTGAGTGGAACTCATCACTGTACATCAACTTCATTGATTATGAAAAGGCATTTGACAGTGTGGATAAGAGAACGTTATGGAAACTTCTTCGACACTACGGAGTTCCTGAGAAGATTGCCAACCTCATCAAGAATTCACTTGACGGAATACAATGTAAGGTGGTGCATGGAGGAGAGCTGACAGATGCATTCCAAGTAAAGACCGGAGCCAGACAAAGACTTCTACTCTCTCCCTTCCTCTTTCTTCTGGTGGTCGACTGGATTATGAAGAGCTCGACATCTGAAGGAAAACACGGCATACAATAGACAGCTCAGAACTAATTAGACGACTTGGACTTCGCAGACAGCCAGTGTATCAGCAGTCTCTTCGTCAGTAAGCCTCAACATACACAAGGGGAAAATCAAGGTCCTCAAATACAACACGGAAACAGCAATCCAATCACTCTTGAGGGCGAAACTCTGGAAGATGTAGAATCCTTCACATACCTGGGAAACATCATCGATGAACAAGGAGGTTCAGATGCAGACGTAAAGGCAAGGATCGGCAAAGCAAGGGTCGCATTTCTACAATTGAAGAACATATGGAACTCAAAACAACTTTCAACCAATATCAAAGTGAGAATCTTCAATACGAACGTCAAGGCAGTTCTACTGTATGGAGCTGAAGCTTGGAGAACTACTACAACAACCATCATCAAGAAGGTACAAGTAATTATACATAGCTGTCTACGCAAGATACTCAACATCCGTTGGTCGGATACCATCATCAACAGCCAAATGTGGGAGAGAAGAAACCAACTTCCAGCTGAAGAGGAAATTAGGAAAAGACGATGGGAATGGATAGGACATACATTACGCAAATCGTCAAACTGCATCACGAGGCAAGCCCTAACTTGGTATCTTGAAGGGAAGCGGAAAAGAGGAAGGCCAATGAACACATTATGTCGGGAAATAGAAGCAGATATGAAAAGGATGAATAAGAACTGGAAAGAGCTGGAAAAGAATTGCCCAGGACAGGGTTGGATGGTGAATGCTGGTGAGCGGCCTATGGTCCTTCACGAGGAGTAACAGGAGTAAATAAGTAAGTAAGTGGGATCTAACAAAGGTAAATTCGTGACTACAACAGTGAAAACACCATAATCTCCACAAATTCACTAATCTATCTCATTCACTTGTTTATTTATATATTTATTTCCCACTTAACTTTCATAAATTAAAAAAGTGTTATCAGAATAGGTTTTGTGGAGATTTTAGAAATTTCACTGGTTGAAATCATGAGTTAATTGAAGCTAGACCACCATAGAAAACCTGGAAGCACTGAACAACCGTTTCGTCCTAGTATGGGACTCCTCTATGGCAGTGTGCATTCACAATCCCGCACCCCCCTCCCGCGAGATTCAACCAGTGAAATTAAAAAAGCTGTATTATATACATGTCATCATTAGACAAATCAACGAATTACCCTAATTGATAATTACATAGTCAATTATGTAATTATATCAATGAAATAATTGAAGAATTTCAAACAATTCAATGACAATATTGACTTATAATAAATAGTTTTAAATTACAATATAAAACACAATAAATCAATAATCCTCAATAGTAAATCAATCAAATGGTGATCAGTTTAATTGATTCAATTCATAAGTACATAATACACAAATCAATAGAGTTAACTTTACTACTTTCGTCTTATTTCATAAGGATCTAAAATTTTTGATCATTGAATTGTATGATGTGTGTACTGTTTGATTGAATCTTCCCATTGATGTTTAGGAGATTGGAATGGATCAGTCTATTATTGGTATATATATATGTGCATCCTGTGCAAATTGCCTAGATATTGTTTCAACTCACAATCATTGTAAGCAAAAATGGATGGTAGCTAGTAGTGGAATCCAATGATGCGTGTTTCGTCCTACAAGGGACTCGTCAGCTGGATATATCTGCATCACAGAGTTGATGTTCACTCTGGCACTGAATCCTAGTACCGTTCGAGTCCTGGACTGAACATCAATAACATAAAGATCAGAGAAATACATAATACTACTACTACTACTACTACTACTACTACTACTACCACTACTGCTACTACTGTAGTGAACACGAACACCAGCGGAGACAATCGAATGCATTTCACACAAAATTACAGGACTTGTTAATAAAATCTAACAATCATAAAGTAAATGCTTAATTTGCAAAATGTCCATCACTTGTTTCAAAATGACTCAAACTTCATTGTTCTTGCATTTTCATATAAATTTCATTCTGTTTCTATTCTTTACTGTTCGATCCTATTGTCTGTCTGTTGCCAGACCTTCTGTTCACGACTAACATCATCTAATACTTATGTCAATATCAGTAGCACACTACACTACTACTACCACTAGTACTGCTACTATTACCACTAATACTACTGCTACTACTACTACTACTACTACCACTACTACTGTTACTAGCACTACTAACACTACAACTAATAATAATAAACACTGTCATTATGATTATTACTTTAGAAGAAACAATAGATCATGTGATAGACTCTTGTTTATTGTTATGCTTTATTTTTCTTTCTCTAAAAAGAAAGAAATAAGCAAACAAACAAACAAAAAAACACTCATCTTATGATTAGAAAACTTGAAGTGTTCAATCAATATTTAATGAAAAAGAAAGTTTGTTCAATTTAACAACCACAACAACAACAACAAGAACAAGAAAGAACACAGTCAAAACATGTCAATTAACTAATTTTCTTAATTGTTATTGATAAAATGAATTATTACAGTTTATAAGCTAATCAACAACACGAAGAACATCAATACAATCACATTTGATAATGAAACTCTGGAAAATGTGGAATCTTTCAGTCATCCTCTGAACAGTATCATTGATGAAGAATGAGGAACTGATGAGGTTGTGAAGGGGAGGGTTGGCGAAACGACGACAGTATTCCTACAATTGGAGAATATGTAGAACTTAAAACATCTGTATTCAAGCCAATATCAAAGTTACAATCTTCAATACGAATGTTAAGATGGTTCTATGGTACGGAGTTGAAACTTGCAAATCTATTACTACTACCATCATCATAAAGGTAAAAGTATATGTAAACAGCTGTCCGTTGGTTGGATGTCATTACCAACAGAGTATTGTGGGAGAATATAGACCAGCTTCGGTACGAGGAGGAGATTAGAAAGAGATGATGGAAGTGGATTGGCTATAGATTGAAGAAATCATCGAACTACATCACGAAGCAAGACCAAACTTGGAATCCTGAATGGAAGCAGAAAATAGAAAAGCCAAAGAATACAGTGCATCGGTAACTGGAAACA